TCCGCTGCAGCTATGGCCACGCCGTCCGACTGGTGATTTCTTCATTATAATATTGGGTTGTCTCATAATTCCTGTCTCATTTCTATTCAATTTCAAATTTCTTCCGTCTAAGACCGTTTCATTGCGAAATACGTTAGTATGTTGAAGTATGCTTCAAGAGCCTTAACAGCGTGGTTTCGGAAGCGCAAGCCCATAACGGGTTAATCAACTAGGAATAAAAATAGGTCAGTGACTATAATGATGCTTTACGATCCTCAAATGAACCTATTGTAAGGAGGACACCAGTGTCGCTGTGTTTGACCCAGTCTCTGCTGTACTGATAGGGTACTGAGCTAGTGGTCCAATCGCAACGGCAAAGACGAAACGAGCTATGAACTTCAACCTCATACTGGGCCTGCGGTCATTTTTGATGAGCGCCCCTTGCACCCTAAATTGGGAGTGCCTCCGGACGTTGCTACCAGGGTATTGTAGCAGATACCTGAGCGCAGCCGATGCACCAGCACACGCCATCAGTATGGCAAGGACTGCTGCAGAATGAAGTTTTGATGGAAACCTTATGGTCCGGCCGACCATGAGCGAGAAGCACGCCTGACCATCTGGGGAAAATTCATTCTGGACGGCAAAAGCAGAGCCTTCCCTAATCGGTCACCAGTGGAGATGAGTCATGAGTCCACTGCGACAACAACACGCGGCATGCCTGATGGCTACCGACCCCAGACCTCACACTGCAATGCCAACTCACCACGTTCTGAGGGAGATAGCCAGGGCCACGATACCTCATCCACCATATAGCATTGGCATCGCTCTATCGGACTATCGCCTCCCCTGCGCCCTGAATAAGCATCTGCCAGAGAAGAAAGTTAAAGATTGCGACCACCCCAAAAACGACTTCTCCAAATTCTTCAACCTTCCAGCTTCTTCATTCTGGGCTGGAAGCTTCCAAACGCTCACTAGCAAATGCACGCATATCAGTGACCATGATGGTGGTTATGCTATTGATCAGTTGTTTCCTAGAAGAGATAAAACTTGAATAAACAAAAGTGTCGAAATTGAGACAGGAATTATGAGGAAACCCTTAGATTTTGGGACCTTTCCCCACTTTCCTAGCCTTAGCTCCTTTCCTCGTTTCCTGAGGTGCATACATTCCGCACTCCTAACCATTCGTCTATCTCTGCCTGTCAGATCTTTAGAAGCACTAGTAGATGAAATCGCGGATTGTGCCTCTGTATGATGGCATTCCACGGCTCCATCTGAATGAGTAGGAAGTAAGTTGCACGATTCATATAGGTCCGCGATTTGATTTGCCCGCGCCCCATTTCTGGAATTTTCCGGATTTTCAGCTTATTTCACAAGATGCTCAGGAGCTGTATATATCTGGAACAGGGAGCTCCTGCTTTCATATAATGAACATAATGTGAATGATGTCTGACCTCCGGTAAATGTTCGACGTGCTTCGTTGAACACATGCCGAAAAAGCGCTATTGTTTCACTAACAATAAGTAGTGTAACGGACCCTTCATCAGAACTGGAATCCTAGTATGAATATTCACGACTGGTTTAACGAAAGCGCAACAGATTAAAGAGAATAAGTTTTCATGGAGCTTAATGAAAAAATTTGCCAACCAAATGGGAACTGATGGGGTGATGAACCCAGTCTCTTTTTACGATGAATTTTGAGAAGATATTTTTACATCATGACCCTAATCCTTGCCTAAATTCCATAATCGTACCAAATTTGGATGTATTTCGATTGAAGTCAAGCATGGTGTGTGCTTCACCATCCACAATTATCTTCGATTACAGATTGAGAACATAATGAATGGCTTCATGGCCACTCTTCGAAGTGCGATTGTTTTATCTGGGACAAAAGAAGGAGAAGCAACTAAAGCAAACCTTGCAGTGGAGACGTGCGACAGTCATGTATGTTTTTGAACCACAACAGATTGAGCACTGCTCCGAATATTCGCCTTATATCTCTGATTTAAAGCAGGAATTCAAGATCATAAAGGAGCCACACAAATTGAGATAGAAGTGATTAGTGGTGCAGCGATGAAGGGAACAATCGTGCAAAACGGCTAAAAAATTCAAAAGATAGGACCCCTCCTTTGCCCGCTGACTTCCGCACTGATTCAACTGTCATCGGTGTGACCATTTCAGCGCTCCTCTTTCTGCTTTACCCCTAAAGACGGACAAGGCGTATCAGGTTGACAGCGCGATGATATTCGCGAGAAAGGCCATGCTAGATCACCAAGAGCATGTCCTTCGCTGTGATTAGCATGTCAATCCGCACCCTTAGGGGGACTATATGTCTTTCGACTAGGTGGGTTTCCTCTCTTAATTCTCCGTTAACTGACCGCCCCATCTACATCGGTGCACGCTGTAGACTAACAGGTTTTGTAGAGACTCGCCTCAGGCTTCACAGTATTTCATCCCGACTCTTGTCATTTCAGCTCAGTGTCTAAGAAATTCAGAAATTTCAAATATCGTGTTTTCCTTTCGCAATGTAACATTTTTAGTTATGTTGTGCAAGGTCTTATTTCTCTTCCGGTCTCTTGTTACACTGTTTCAACTGTAACTTCACATAAGAGCATCTTATTTAGAAAATAAGTAAATAATAATTAAACAGTTAGATCAGTAGATAGATAGATAAATAAATAGATAAATAATAAAGAAATAAACAAATATATACATACACACATGTACAAGGAGCACAATCACGAACAAAATTCCTATTCAAATAAACAGCTTCTCATCAATCCATTCTCGAAGTTCATGATTTCTACAATGACAGTATGAGTAGTTATGATGAATAATTCTCTTCTGTGTGTATACAGTAGTGGTTCTTCTTCCGATACGCCCTATGTATAGTTCATTGATTCAGACCATGGGGGTCCTTGCACTTCCGACGAGGTTCGTTACAAATGTAGACCATTTCGGGAACACAAGAGCGAAAAAAGTTCTACGGACTCCGTTTGATTCGCTTGGGAAGGAGGTAGGCGCTACTCCATTTGCGAATTTTTATTTTTTTAGATTCTACAACAATGAGAAAGCCTTCCGTTTTGCTCTTTGTGACCGTCATCAACGATCAATGTACAAAAAGGGTGCGGGACTTTTGGCTCGTCCGGGACTGTGCGCGACAATTTGCGCGGCGCCCTAGAAACGCGTCGTTCAGTCGTCAGCTTGCTTTTGCCTCTCGTAAAGGGGTGTGCTCGCCCTAAATGGTTTTTTGTGGCTCACAACTTCCCCATTTGATTTCAGTAAAGTTTTTTCAGCATGCTTTTCAGAATTGGTCGCTTTTGGTTCCATTCAATACAATTTCAAATTTGTAATCCTATTGCATTAGTTTTATCAAACAATAGGATAATCCCATAGGCAGAGGGAGCCTGCGACGTTTGCAATAAATTTCAGTACTGCAAGCGAAACGAACAAGCGAAGTGAAACACAATTCGCTACTTGGCAGCCTACAATATACAATTCATGCCGCACCTGCATCGCGGCGGAGGTTGCCGCGCGCAACTACGGACGAGCCAAATGTCCGTCGCCCGTACAAAAAGATGATGATGTACACGGACTGAAAAACCGCGTAAGGCAACAATTCGAGATCGGTCGATTTCGCGGGCAAAAACGGTTGATAATGAAGTTGTAGATGGCGTGGTGACTGATGATGAGAAAAAAAGCAAAAAAAACCGCCGGTGGAGCCTTTCAACAGGGATTCCCCCTCTTTCTTCAAAGCGGAGGAGGAGGAGGCGTGCTGGACAAGTTGGCACTAGCTTGCTCCGTCGGCATTTATTTATGGATGTGCTAGCAAGAAATGAGGCTGCAGTCGCATATGCACCAATGCAAACAAATAAATCCGATAATTAAACGATTCAAGCAAGTCAAACCAAACGCAGACGCAGCATTCATTGAAACGCAAAGTTTACACACAATCGCGCGCAGCCAGTCACGCAATTGCGGAAGGACCACGCACCCAATCACGCGATCTCTCTCGCTAGCGAAAGGACGGAGTCAAAGGTAAGGCGGAACCAAGGCGTCAAGTCTTTTCTAGCGGCTTTCCAAGGCGAGCTTTTTGTTCAGTGACACTTTTTATGCTCTTGAGTAGGACCAGCACACCATTTCCACACCATTAGTATCGAAGTCATGGATCCTGCTGGAACTGTTACTTTGAGCAGCATTCGAAGATGTCGTGCACGGCTGACGTGTAGATTCCGGAGTCCAATCTAATTTGAGCCAACCGGTCAAAGTTGGGTTGTTTCAGCACAATCAACCTTCACCTCATAACGATACCTGAAAAATAATTTAGAATTCAACTTTGATAGCGATTGATTTATACCAGCACTTTTATCTCTTTTTATCATAAATTCTAATATGAGAGGGCACTATGCGGACGGACAGATAGGTTGAAATTTGTACATAAATACGCAGAGAAACATACACCGATAGACCTGAATATAGGGATTGTCTGCTGTAAAACAAAGTGTTATGCCCCTGCTTTCATTCAGGAAATTTACATGTTTCTACGACATTTACATATGGAAGGTAGCTTAGAATGCCAAGCGCTTTTAAGCAAATTGTTACATTAGCTGCGGACCTGAAATGGTGTGCAGAAGTCAAAACCAACGTGTGCATCAATGATGCGGTAGAAAGTTTCAGTGCCAACTGCGGACGCTTCGCTCTTTTGTGACAACTAAGTTTTCAGGAGGAAATTCAGCTGGCAAAGAGAATCATCACAAACAATGTTTGCTCCATTGGAGTAGGGTGGGTTGTAGAGAAGTACGATATTTTGATGAGTTTATAATACTATTCTATTTTATTCAAAACTGCGGGAAAGTTTTGAGGCTTTTGATATTTCAGCGATCTGAGTAATCAGTGGGCAATGACAAAGGATGAGAAAGCGAGAGCCAGGCTTGAGGTGTATAAGACTTTCAACAAGTAGCCATTCAAGTTCCACTCTCATGTTGTTTCACGAGCAGTATTAATTGTGCAAATATTAAGGAGCTAATGGATGCTGTATGGAATATGGTTGCCCAAAATAGTGACATCATTGAATATTCGAAAGCTCTAAAAGATGATGGACGTCACATGTGATCACTCCTTTCTTCTTTTGCAATCTTTTCGGGGTGTAGCCGTAGAACTACTCCATATTTTCAATAAACTTCTTGACTTCATTCACCGCTTGGTGGTTATTACCATATGACATTGAGCATCAGAGGAGTCTTCCTCGAAAAAATTGCTATTTCATTTCACCCATAAATCACTGGCTTGAGACCATCGTTCACGATAAGAACGAAAAGAACAAAAAATTGCATTTGTTTTGGTAAACAATCTGAAAAACCGGAAGGGCTGCTTTGCGTTCAAATCGCCGTGCATCTGTTACAAATGCTGGTGGGAAAACACTCTCACTTGGTTCTCGGAGCAGAGTTAACCGTCCCATCCGCACTTTTTCAAAATTTTGCGACCCCCTTCCCTGTTGCTCCTAATAGTGCTGTTAAGAGTGCTGTCAATGTTTCAATACATTCACATTCACATTACATCATATTACATTGCCATCCTTTTATTCTTCGCAATGCAATTTTGTGTGGACACAGCAGCTCAATCCGTAGGCTGCTGTCCACGCAAAGGCAGTGAGAAGCACATTTACGCCTAGAAACCAAAACGCAGTGAACATGTAGCGAAATGGAAACGCAAAACAAAAAATGAAAGCAAAACAGCTCGTAATAACGGCGCTGAGACTCAAGGAAGTTTTGAAGCTTTGGGACGCGGCTGCCTTGCGGCGCTAACCTTGGAGCACGGCAGGTGTCACCCAAGCGCTGAGAGAACGGGACTTGGAAAAGCAAATACTTCAGAGGGGAATAATCTTTCTTGCAACATACTTTTTTTGACTTGTTGAGGTAGATTTGAACTGTGCCTGAGGTGCGCTTTCAGAAATCTACAAGGATTGCCTAACTCTCCGGAAAGTACTTCTGTTAGAAGTGGAAAACCCAAAATTCTAAGAAGGCGCACCTTCAACTTTGAAGGCCCATAAAATCTTTCGTATGCGACTTTTGGAAAGCTGAAAGGAAACTTCAAATATTTCTCTATCAAAACAGTATAAAAAGTTTAGTGATTGACCCCTTTTCAAAAAATTGTCCCGTTCGAACATTTTCCGTGCAAAAGCGAGTTTTTGGGCTTTCAGCGGCCATAACTCACTTCATTTTCATTTCTGTGATGCACTTTTTATATGGCAAGAAAGTGCAGGATTCGCTCTTCGTAACAAGCACTAAACCGTTTCTCAAAGTTTTAATCAAACCAGTTTTGCAAAACTACAGGTGTTTCGCGGACAGTTTCTACCGTATATGCGCCTTTTACAACACAATAATATAAGGTTGTCCCATAATTAGTGAATCACTTTGGGCATTTTTCAATTTTAATTTTTTTCTTTTTCATATGAAGTGCTTGCTCATCCAAACATACACCTCTGTTATCTACAAACTATTGCCTATACATGGGAAATTTAGTCGCTGTCTTTCTCTAGAATTCCAGGAGCTATTGATCGAAGAAAGATCGGAAGTCGGGTTTGAGGTCATGTCACTTAGCGTAAAATTTCTTCCTGGAAGAAGAGCGCTAGAGGTCAGACTAGTTGTCTTTCGCTGGTACGAGGATAGGGCTACACGGCGGAGCTGGAAGAACTGCTAGCCTGAGGTCTCCAATTTTTTATGAATATTCTCCGCAAGGTGGGGTCGAATGACCTCAGAAAAAAAGCAGACTTTGTCTTGCTTTACTTTCAATTGAACGCGTCGCCATTACGCTGTCGACGTTGATCTTCTTCAGTGACCCTAGTATTACTGGGCGGCGGTTCCCAGCGCAAGGTCCTCTCGTGCTCCACCAACATCTCAGAAGTGTCGGACATAGAGGTTGGGCTTTTGCTGTCAGAACTCCCGAATTTTTAAGCTAGGCTACTGCTCCTTGTGGATTTGCTAGCACACTCCACCCACTTCACAACACTGGTGAATACGCAGGATGATCACTGAAAGGAACTCTGGGAAACCAGAGGGAACATGGCGATTTCATATCGTGTTTGGGAAAGATTCCAGAAAAATTGAAGTTTCAGCCTCGGAAGGCAACATGTGAATGGGCTGACTAATTGCTCAGGTAGTACAATACGGGCACTACTTGGCATGTAAAGTGATTCACTAACTATGGGACAACCTAATAGAATGAAAACTGACTAAAATGAGTGATATAATGTTCCTCGATGCTGCTTGGAGTTTTGGGGACAGGTTTGTAACGAAGACCGAGCATATGGTAATTTGAAAAATACATCAGCGCGTTGTCTCATTTCAAAACGTGATTTATTGGTTCGAAGAGCACCTCAGTTTTTTCGCTGCCACTGGTTGCTGTGTCATGTTTCAAGGGCTGTGAAGGAATAGGGCGACGTTTTTCACCGTTGCCTGGCAATGTGGTAGCGCTACGGCAAAGCGCATACCGTTGAAGAGCGGACATAGAAATATTTTAAGACTTTACTATTAGTTAGTTTCAACTTCGTTTTTATTTATTTTTTACTTTTCAAAGGTTTTCATTCCTAGGCAACTTGAGTTCTTTTATGTCATCCAAATGTTCGTTTATCTTTATGCAGATAGGCCTGCCCGTCCCGATGTACTCCTCTTTGCCCAGAAAGCATGAAATTAAAGGCAAAAGTCAGGATTACATTGATGGGTTGATTCCACTCAAATGTGAAAGTAGGGATGGGAGGTGGACCGCCAGTGGAGAAAAAAGGAAAGAAAATCCTGAAATACACAGGAAATACGAGCATTTTGCTCATGCTGTGGAGAAGTTCAAAAGACAGGGATGAGAGATAATGTGAGCGCGGAGAGTGGTAGAGAAGTCCGAGAAGAGAGAGCATAGCAGACCACGCAGCGACGCAAACAAATTGACACGAAAAATGGAAGACAATCACAACGACAGACAGACAAACAAGACATCGATCGGTGGGCGGACCATGTTATGTTTGATGGAGTCTGTTAGAAGTTCATGGCGCCTAGGGTCTTGGTGACGGGTTTCGATGTGGAAACCCGTCACCAGGATCCTAGGCGCTATGAACTTATAGAAAGGTGGCGCTAACTTTAGACTTGGGGAGCAGCACTTCTAACCATGATAAGGATTTTTTGGATGGGTCTGAGGCCAGACTTTGCCTTTAAGTACACTACACAAGATGTCATGCACTTTTTCTTTGCTGAATGGGCATATGACGACGGAATATTACACAGACTATTAAATAGGCGATTTTGGACTACTCTTCTCTCGATGTTTGTGGATCTAATATCCATCATCCAATCATGAAGACCGGCCTTTCCCATGCATGAGCGTGGGACTGCACTCAGCTCTTCAGATATGAATGGAGTACGAAAGGGTACTGTTCTCCTTCTCGACGGCCAGCTGTAACCAACCATCGCCTAGGTCTTGAAAGAATTTTGGCTGTGGTGTTTTGTCAGTGCTATGAAAGCGCCTTTTCGAGCCTCTCAGCCTTCTCTCCACTTCCTGCTGAAACCGTTGTGGCGGTGCACATCTATTATCAGTGATCTCTCTTCGTATTTGAAGGCTGCGCAGAGCTGCAATGGACTAGAATGCCTTACTGGCCTTGCTTCGATACCAATTCAGTTATTAGTTTTTATTTATGTTTTAGTTAGTTGGCTTCAGTGAAATTTCTACTTCTTATGAAAAAAATTTCGCTTTTTTCGTGTCAATTCCATTCCACGGCCGCTAAGATAAAGTGTCTTCCGTTTTGAGCTCAATACACGTGTCCCTAATGAATTCAAAAGGCCCTTCCAAAACAGCGCTTCACGTCTTGTGTGAGTTCTTTAGCGAGGATTGCCCTTTCGCGACCAAGCGGGGTCCATGGTGGCCCAGCAATGTTTAGCCTGTGATGAGCGCCGCTTTCATCGGGAGCCCATTTCAGGTAATTGAATGCTGAGAGAAGCGTTCTCCATGCAGACACTCCTACCATCTTCCGTTGCTTTCAATGGTCAAAGAGCATTTCGTGTAGCCGTGTCTTCATTTTGAAATTGTCAACACAGGATGGGCCAAAATTATGAGGACAAAGATAACATGTCATCATAATTGCGCAGCATCCTGATAAAACATGCATTTTTTCAGAAAAGTGTTTGCAACTCTCATCTCAAAGTAAATCCAGAATAGAATTGAGATCTGCCATGCCGCGTTTACACGAGCCTTCAGATGAAGGGGATGGCGCGTGCGGTGGCACGCAACTAAGGCGTGTCAAATGTTTCCAGGCCTTCTGCTCTGCTTTCTTCAGGGAATCAAAGTTTTGTGGGGCATTTATTTGCGCTTGCATCCAGGGTGTGAAATACAGAAATCTAGAGCTATTAGGTGGAAGGTTCCATTGTAACAATTCTTCGAAAGCAACGAACTCGAAAAATCGCTTCGTGGAGAATTTTTGCTTTATTCTTGGGTGTCCTGCAAAAAAATCCCTAATAGAGCACTTGAGTGATTCTCTGTCCACCAGATGTTGAGCCTTCAGAGTGCCTGGCTGGACTTTCACATGAATTTTCATATTTTGGGAGTACGAAAGTCGACAAGGCAGAGAGCGGCTTTCTGCATCTAATTGCCCTGTTGGTAACTGCATCGTTCAAATCTCAGCATTTCTACCTATGCTGGTTGCAAACTTATTGAAGTGAACTCGTATGGGCAACTGTTGAACTTATTCAACCGTTGCCCATACGAGCTTCCCTGCAAGTTGAACTGCTGCTATATGTAAAGTGCCAGAATCCAGTTGAGTTAAGTTCGAACTTCAACGTACGTGGTTTAGTTATGTCATTGGTTTTGGAAACTGCGTGATATTCGGTTTCAATAGGAAGAAGAAATTGCAATCTAACCCATGGAGCACAGAAAAGAAAATGGAAAGTAGAGAGTCAGAAAAAGGTGGAAATGGTCTAGGGCACACACGTCCTCATAATTTAGACCCACACTGTTAGTCAAAGCCTGATGTTTGTTGGGATGATGCCATTATGAAGGCTAACATTTCCAAATCAACTTTTCCTTGGGATTACTAGAGCGTCTCAGATGAATATAAAAAATGTTGGCATTCGTTT